CCGGGCGGGGGCCGGGCGGGCCCTCGGCCTGTCCCCCAGGGTGTCGCCCCGGAACGAGGAGCAGAGCTTGGGGGGTATCGGAGCTGCACCTCCAGCCCCTCGAGGAGCAGATACGGGGGTATCCCCTCGGGAGTGTTTGCGCGGCTGGAGCCGCAAAGAAATGGGATACAGGGTGGTCATGGAGATATTCCAAAGGCTGGAGCCCTGGGCTGCTCTGGAGACCGGCTTGAAGAGCTGAGGGTGTTCAGCCTGGAGAAAAGAAGGCTCCAGGAAGACATTAGAGCCTCTTCCCAAGCCTAAAGGGGTTCCAAGACAGCTGTAAAGGGACGTGGGATGAGGACCTGGAGTGACAAGGGGGAATGGCTTCCCACTGACAGAGGGCAGTTACCTGGATATTGGGAAGGAATTCTTGGCTATGAGGGTGGCAAGGCTGTGGCACAGGGTGCCCAGAAGCAGCTGTGGCTGACCCTGGATCCCTCAAGTGTCCAAGGCCAGGCTGGACAGGGTTTGGAGCAGCCTGGGATAGTGGAAGGTGTTCCTACTCATGAGCTTCTAATCCAAGGTCTCTTCTAATCCAAACTACGCTGTCATTCTGTGATGGAGCAGTTATCCCAAATCCCATTCATTGGATGCAGTTCTGGACGGAGCAAAGGGCTGAGACCCTCCTCCTCTGCCTCTGCTCTGGAGCTGCTGCCTGAAGGGCAGGCACATCCTCTGTGCTCGGGTGTTTGTCATGGAGAAACTGAGGTGTGGGGAAAGCTGCAGGAGGGGGTACTCCTGAACAGGCCCCTCCAGCTCACATTCCTCCTGCCTGGCCAGGAGCACAAAACCTAAGCAAAAGCCTGTGGTGCTTTCAACTGGCTCTGCAGGGCAGTGAATCACCTCTGTTCATCTCCAAGTAAAAAGGTGTTTCTTTTCCAGAAGTGCTTCACCTCCTCTTGAGCCACCACAAACCTTCTGCCTCTCTAGCCCCCTGGGGCAGGAGTTTTCCAAGCAGTCACCCGTCCCACCCAAACCTGCCTGTTACAGGTGCCCTGCAATGCTGCTGCCCCTGTATGTTGAGAGTGAAGTCCCTCTCCATGTCACTCATAGGCTTATCTCCACCTTGCCCCCTCTTGTGCCCTTTCTCAAAGATAAAGGAGACCAGCTCAGCTGGAAGGTGTTCCAGATCCCTGGTGTCTCCAGGGCCTTTGAAGAGCTTGTTCCATCCCTGTTGGGATGTGACACTGGTAACTGGGTTCTTTTCCCCAGGACTGAGAGTGATGAGACAGAGGATGTCTCTCATGTTCGGACTTGGTTGTTTATTCTTCTCTATATTACATATATACAGATACACTAAGATAGAGAGGTGCAAAGTGGCTAATGAAGAAAAGACCTCTTCAAGGTCTTTGATATGTCTATTTGTCTAATTAACAAATGCCAAGGAAGTTATTTTTCTTAGTGACCCAATGACCTGGCACCTGTGTGCTGTGGCATCTTCTATCTAATCACTTATTATTACCCAAAAACCCCTAGAAGAAGATGAAGAAGGAAGAAGGAAAGGGACAACGCCATAAGTCCTCCATCTTGTCTCTTATTTTCTAAAATAGCTTAAACTTTAAACTCTTTCTCACCCAGTGACTTTAAGAAAACTCTATTTAACTTACACACTCACATTCCCAGTTTCTCTATTTAACAGCTGTCTCCATGGTGTTATGAGAAATTCAGTGGTTTTTTGGGTGTCAAAGCCAGGTATCATAGGATTTGCATTTAGGTGCTTCACAGCAGCAACATGTTTTTAATTTTCTTCTCTGATCCACTTCTCATGTCTCATCTAATTTTCTGATGGCTGCTGAGCAATTAGGCTGACATTTTCATGGACCCACCAGTTATCACCCCAAATGTCACCCTCGAGTTGCACCCACAACTCAGAGCCCACTCAGTGAGTACAACACTTGAGGGCTCCCACCTGAACACATTCACCTTTATCCACACTGGATCAACCTCCTTATGTGGAGGGGACCTTGCTCTTCTCTTCAACAGCCCAGAATATAGGAAAAGGAAGGAATAAACAGGACCTATCTCCTCCTGCCACCCATCACTTGTGTTCCACCAGTACTCCTGGGTAAACATGGGGCTGGCATGGAGCCATAGCTCTCACCTTAGTCACCTTGCACCTGAACAGGGAATTTGATCCTCGGGTTGCATCCTCTTTCCATGTCACTTCTGGCACACATGGAGCTCTGGGCAGGCACTGTGGATAGCTGAAGCCAAACACATGTTCCTGGGACACTGGTTGAGAGTTTGTGAGCTGCACAGGTCACTGAACCAAGGAGCTGAGACAGCCAAAGCCCAGCAGAACTTCCAGCCCCTTAGGGTGGCTCTCACCAGGTCTGCCCTGTGTTACCAGCAGTACCACAGCTGCAGTGGCTGGGGCACAGCAATGCTGTGGGACAGGATCACTCCCTGGTGACACAATGACACCTGGAAAAATATCAGTATCCTCTACATTGTACTGTCCAGCTTCAGGGGCTGAGCAAGTGTTCTGCTGAAATCCTGCTGATCCCATCACAAGCCATCCCAAGGGCTTTTCTCCCTTAGGATAACCTTTCCCACCAGCTACCCACATCTAACCCCCTGCAGCTCTCCACCTTGGCCTTTCTAAAACCCAGCCTGACCATAGGCGTTGAAAATTTCAGCTTGGATCCGATCAGCTGCCTGGCAGAGCCATCTGTAAACAGATGGTGGAAGCAGGAAGCCTGAGAGCTGCCGTTGTCATGGCAGTGCCAGAACAGCCACAGTGATCCCTGGCACCGGTTCTCTTGGAAAGGTAGTGGCAACCCTGGATCATGGGGGCTCTAGACTAGGATGGATTCCATTCCTCACCCCACAGGGAAGCACAGTGGGGCTGAACCCAGAGGCAGTAACCTCAATGCCAGCTCCAACAGTCACACCCTCACTCTGCTGCTGTTCTAGCCATTCCAGAGAGCTTGTATAGAGGAAAGGGAAGCTTCTGGGAGGCAGTGTGATGTCCAGCACATGGGCATCCTCTGCTGCCATAGAACCCATTGTTCACCCCCCTGCCTTCCCTATCCTCACCTCAGGAAGCAATTTCCTTGCCAATCACTCTGGTAACAAACCTGGCCACAGATGCTGACTTCGCCCAGTCTGCACCTACCCTGTGTCCTTCCAGGAGGATGAAGGTGTCTCCAGAGGGGAATGTTGGCAACCTTGCCTCTTACCATTACTCAGCAGCGTAGTGCAGAGCTCCCACACTGGACCTGAGAGTCCAGAGGCAACACAGTTCCAGGAGCTCTGTGGGGACCCTGCAGTGGTGCAGGTCCCATACCAGCCTGCTTTCCAGATGGGGACTTTCATCCAGGAGATGAAGATTCCACACAAGTATATGTCTTGTCTCCAGGTGCTGAACCGCAGCAGCATCATCCCCATGAGGAGGAAACACCCACACATGATGGAAATGGGAGGGGGCTTCAGCCCTGAATTTCCAAAAATATCCTTGGTCCTTGTAGATCTGATCTTGTATTTGTCTCCTCCAGCACCAGCTCCCCCCACAATAAGGCCACCCACAAGTTCTTTCAACACCCTGAAAGATCTCAGAAACACTCCTGGTTCCTTCCCAGCTTCCATCTAACACACCACAAAGCCCCACACTCAGCAACTGAGGTCAGGACAAACACAACCACTGGCATTCAGAAAGCTGCAGCCCCAGAAGTGTTTTATTTCTCTTCATTTGGAAACTGGTTTAAAAAAAACAAAGCAAAAGCTCTGCTTTCTGAGTCAGTAGGAACACTGCAAACACCAGTCCAGGAACTCTGGGCTGAGGCATGAAATTCTCCTTTAATACAGATAATGCCAGCCAGCACACAGATAAACTAATACAGATAATGCTGGTACCAGCCTGGAGGAGGAAGGGACTCTGGGAAGGGTCTGCCTGTTTAAGAGGTTGTTTCTGCCTCAACAACACACAGAAGCATTCTTGGGATTGTTTTTCCCCCCGTTACAAATCATCTAAACACAGGGTCACCCTTACACAGCAGGGCTCCATGGGCTGCCTCAGTGCTCAACTCAGCCTTGGCTCAGTCATGGCCTCAGCATCACTGCAGGACAGTCCTGGCAGGTGACCCTGCTTCATCAGCTCCCAGCTGAGCCAGATGCAGCTGACACTGCTCTGAGGATGAGAGCTATCCCCAGGCTCCCAACCATCCCCTGTGCTGGGCTCTGTCTGCCCCAGCTCTAATCTAAGTGCCTCAGCATTTTCTTCTACCCCTGCAGCCTCTTCCTGACAACACAAAGCAAATGCATGGATGGTCTGTTGTTTAGAGGAAAGTCAGAGGAAAAACTCTGGGAACTGAACAGCAGATTTGCTGTTTCAGGATAAAGTCTTCTCAGCCTCAGCTTCCTTCTGCTGCAGCTTCCGAATCAGCTCCAGCAAATTCATCTGTAGAGTCAGCTCCTGCAAAGGCAGAAAGATGTTTGTGCAAGTAGACGATCCCAGTCTCTGCTGCAGGAAGAAGCAAGGACTGGCCCTTCCTCAAGAGCTTCTTGTTCTTAGGGAATGGGAAAAAAAAAAAAAAAAAAAAAATCAACCAGGCAGCTAAAAACCAAATGCTTCATCTTGTTCAGATGTTTCTCTAAAACACAGAGTAGTGACATCTTACCAGACCTGCTGCAAACCATGGCTGTCACAGTGCTTGAGCATTCCTTAAGGATCTAGAGAGGCTGTTTCTTCTTGACCATGATAAATGTGCTAGGGGCTATGTGGGCTGGCAGGTTCTGCAGGCTGAGGAGGGGCAGCAGACCCAGACAAGGTTCTCTAGGTGCCTCCCCATATTCCTCACAGCAACTCCCTGAACCCTTCCCAGCACAGAAGGGCAGGAAGAGGAGGGATTGCTTTGGGAACCCTCTAAGTGGGATCCAAGGCAAGTGCAACACATGGCTGTGCTGGTGCATCAAATTCCCTGCAGGCATTTCATTACCTATTCCGGGAAAACTCCCTTCTCCAGGACCACAATCAAGTGGAGACATCAACATTAACTCATGGTTCCTTTGCCACCTGCTCGTTCTTTAGTTACATCTAGCTCAGGGACAACATGGTGGAGCCAATAATTCATGTGTATAGGTCTGTGTCTCAGCCCTGCAGACATGGAGCTATGGAAATAAAGATCTATTTTATCTATTTATTTAAATCTATTTTCAGTAAAAATACATCCCCTACACAAGGAGGCACTTCATACAGACTGGGGGGGAAACACATCAGCTGATGGGAGCTACATGAACAGATTCCAGCAGGCATTTCTTGGTGGCACTCACAAGTACAAGCCAAGATCCAGGTTGGGCTTGGCACCTATCCTAAAGGCAAACATACACAAACCCAGCAAAAAGGAGCCTTAGTAAGTGTTATGACTTACAAAAACAACATAAAGGGCAGGGCAGGAGGGAGAGAATGGGCTCTCTGCATTATACGGCTGGGGAATAGCAACACTGAAAAAATGAGAGGCTTGTTCAAGGCTCCACAACTGGGAATCATGTGAGTGGGTGTTAGAAAATGCCTGTTTAGCTTAATTTAAGCTGTCTTTTCTCAGCAGTAGGTCTTTATCAAAGTGACATTTAATCAGCTGAAAAAACACAGTTAAGAACAGCTTGTCTCTGTGTTCTCTGCAAACCTGTATGGCTTTACAAAAGAACTTGGGAATTTTGAGGTTTTTTTGTTCCTGCAGTGGCATAAAGACAATGTGGACAAACTCAGTGGACTCCTCAGTTGTTTTGAAAGTAAATGCCCTGGGGAAACTGGGAACAATTCTTTAAGCACAGCCTGAGATCATCAGCTCCAGCAAGTCACATGCAAGAATGAACAAAGTGCCTAATAAACAATCTTGAAGTCAGTTTTTATAGCTAAGCTGAATATAAATGCAGTAAATTAATTATTTTAGTGCTTTTCAGACCCATTTGAGTCACAGGACTGCAGGCTGTTGGTAAAATATTTTTTCCATTGTACACATGAAAAAAAAATACTGCAGGAAGTTGGGAATGCTGCCAAGTGGTACCTGGGTTTCTGCTCTTTTATTATGAACTGAGTAGAAGGTCCAGTGCACACCAACCACCAGCTGGGAGGCAAAGGACGGATTGTTTGATCTGACACACCCATCCCAAATTTATCTACAGTGAGATTTTTTTTAAAAATGAAAGATACTAACCCAAGAGCACTGTCAAACAATCATGGAATGGTTTGGGTTGGAAGGGATTTTTAAAGGCCATCCATTCCCACCCCCTACCATGAACAGAGATACCTTCCACTATCTCAAACTGCTCCAAGCTCTGTCCAGCCTGGCTTTGGACACTACCAAGGGATGGAGCAGCCACAGCTGCTCTGGGTAACCTGTGCCTTACTAGCCTTCCAGAGAAGGCTATCCCCAATATCCCACCTAACCCTGCCTTTGGCAGTGACACCGTTCCCCCTTGTTCTGTCACTCCGGGCACTTGTCAAAACATCTCGCCTGCAATGCCCAAACACCAACCTGGGGGTTGGTAGTGATGTAGAAGCCAGACACCCCAGCCTTCTCCAGGGTGTTCTGCTGGTCGATTACTTTTTGGTCCAATTCCAAGACTATCTTCTCATCCATCATTCGCTGTTCCTCTCGGATCTGTTGCTCCATAGCCTGGAAAACATAGAAGTCAATGGGAGAGTGAAATACTTGCCTTCTTCCTAGCTTTTTGTCATCTCTAAGACTTTTACTGAAACCCAAGAGCAACCAGGCCCTGAATCTCTCCTGATGAGTCAAAGGATAGCAGTGGGCAACCAGCACAGCCCCAGGTATTAACACCTCCAACTGCAAAGCTGCCATTGAAGAAAATGCACGGAAGTCATGGGAACAGCCCGCTCTCTGAGTGTTTGGAGGACAGGAAAGACCATGAGGAACCAATCAGTGTCCAAATTGCTTTTCTTGATGATGCTTACCTGAGCTATGGCTGAGCTCAGCCCAAGAACCATGTGCCCCTCTAAGGTGAGGCTGAAGGAAGCCTTGGAGGAATAACTTAGGCCACTGAAGCTCATCAAGATGGCTCCCTGGGCACTAACATGTAACTGGAGCTGTAAACCCAATACAGATCCTATTTATTTGTGAAAGGATCTGAATGCTGGGCTCTATTTTTGACAGACTGAGAACAATACAAAAGAAGGACCTAGCCAGAATAGCTCCAACCAGGACATGGCCACTCCTGCTTCACCAACATCTGCCCAAACTTCAGCAGAGTCTCTGTGTTGCCTCCAAAGAAGAAATGAAGCCCAGTAAATATGTGGATGACAAAGGCATGCTGGAAATCAGGAATGGAAGCAGAGAGCAGGATTGCAAGGGACAGGCAGAGCAGAGATCAGGTCAAGAGCTCCATGTGTGTGCAGAGGTGATACAACCTCACCAGGCTGCACTGAGCAGCAGACTTCCTTTGCAAGGGAGCACCACAAATCATCAAATCCCATCAAAAAACAATGATAGGCTCATTTTTGTAGGGTGGGTAGCAGAGTGAGCAGGTAGATTCTGCCCCTCTGCTCAGGTAAGACCCCACCTGCAGAGCTGCCTCCAGCTCTGGGGGCCCAGCACAGGAAGGGCATGGAGCTGTAGAGCAACTCCAGAGGCCACAGAGCTGCTCCAAAGGCTGAAACTTCTGTGTGACCTTGTATCCCCTTCCAGGGCCTAAAGGGGCTCCAAGAGAACTGGAGAGGGACTTGGGATGAGGAATAAAGTGACACAACAAGAAGGAAAGAGTTCAAATGGAGACAGCAGGATTAGATTAGATGCTAAGAGGGAATTCTTCCATGTGAGGATGGTGACACACTGACTGTGGCAGCTATGGCTGCCCCATCCCTGAAAATGTCCAAGGCCTGGTTGGATAGGTCTTGGAGCACCCTGGGATAGTGGCAGGTGTCCCCACCCATGGCAGGGTGTGGGACTGGATGAACCTGAAGGTCCCTTTTAACCCAAACCACTTCAGGATTCTCTGCTTCTCCTGCAAGTAAGAAATAAATAAAGCATTAGAGAGCATCCAAAGGAAGGCAAAAAACATGGTGATGGGCTTTGAGGGGAAACCATACGAGAACAGCTGAGGACACCTGGTCTGTTCAGGTTAGAGGAGACTGAGGGGAGACTCACTGAAATTACAACTTCCTTGAAAGGGGAAGAGGAGGGGAAGACACTATCTGTTCTCTGTGGTGATCAGTGATAGGACCTGTGGGAATGACATGAAATTCTGTCAGGGAGGGTTAGGCTGGATATCAGGGAAAGGTTCTTCCCCCAGAGGGTGCTGGGCACATCCCCGAGGCTGCCAGAGCTCCAGGAGTGTTTGGACAGCGCTGCCAGGGATGCCCAGGGTGGGATTGTTGGGGTGTCTGTGCAGGGCCAGGAGTTGGACTAGATGGCCCTTGTAGGTTTCTTCCAACTCAGCTTATTCTATGACTGTGAAAAGCTGCAAGTTTCAACATTTCATTCATGCAATGCTTTCTCTTTGTAACAGAGAACACAGGAAAATGTTCAGCTGGAAACATCCATGTGGTTAAACTATTCCCACTGCACAGAAAAACAGAAGTCACAAATCCCAGGATTTCCTACACCAGTGGCTGGTGGTTAAAAAGGCCTTGGAGAGGAGCTGAACGCCCCCACCCTGACACAATTCCTGGTCAAAATTCAGAATTTGTGTGACAGAACTCTTGGCCATGAACAGTCTGGGGAAGGGCTGAGGTATGTCTGCAGCAAGAGTATCCATAGCTCTCTGCAAAAGGTGAGACCTAACGAAGAGCAGTTATCACTCTCATGGGGCAGGAGCTACCCCTTGGAACCTCTCCTGGCTGTAGAGCCCACAATTAGCAAGTTACAGTGAGAAACCTTCACAGAACCACCTGCAATTAAGGAGGATGCAGAACTTGGATCCACTAGAAGGTGACCATACAAAAGCTGCTCCAGAGAAAATGTTCAGGTCAGGATCTCATGGCAATAAGCAGGAAGAAACTCAAGACAACTCCAGCCCCAAGAGAAGGCAAGACAGAGTGATGACTGCTTTGATTGCTTCTTCACCAAAGGATGCTAAGGAACATATCTAAGCAAGCTCTGTCCTCATATTTTCTTCAGTCCAGGGATTTACTCCCTTTGTGGAAGACAGATCAAAATCCTTCATTCCCCGGATTTTCCTTCCTCCCACCCACCTCAATGTGCCATTGTTGCCCTCACTTACTGTGGTGGAGAACTGACTTTCTTTGGGCTTGAAAAAAACCACCCAAATTTAAGTGCCTCACATTGTTCAGTGTTGGCATCTAATTCTGGGTTAGAAAAAAGTGCCATATCTTAAACAAATCTGAGGCACACAAGTTTTGCTTCAGCCCTGGTGGCCATGGACCCTGCATGATGGGTTAAGCTTTTCTAAATGCCATAGGTTCCACTGAGAAGCCCAACACCTAAAACATCTTGTATTACCTGTCCTGGGAGCCCAATCCCAAGCTATCTCATGGGAGCTGGTCATGGAAACCTTTGACCACAGAGGGCAACTCCAATTAGACACATATCAGATGTAACAGAGATGATCAATCTGTTCCCAAAGTGCTCTACAGCAGAATCGTCAGAGGACAAAGACAGAAAGAAGTGACTCTATTAACACCTGGGAGAGGAAAGCAGAAGAAAGGCAGAGGGCCGGTAGGAGGAAGTTGCACAACATGTAAGACAAGGAGAAGTGAGACATATTTGGGCAATTTAATGAAATACTGGAAGCATTTAAAACAGGCAGTAGAGATTACTGCTGCAAATCTAAGTTACTCAGAGACAGAAGTAACAAGAACAGGTACCAGAGGTCTAGCCTGGCTTTAGTCACCTTGACAGAAAATGAGGAATGTGGAAACACCAAAGAATCAAACAACAGCAAGCACTGACAAGGTGCTTGCCATGGGCCAAGGCAGGAAACAGTTCTTGTTCACCTTATGTGGACCAAAGTAGCTTCCCCTGACATTTCAACTCCACTGATTAACATAACCAGCTACTTGCCATTTTCTTACATTACAAAACTGCCTCTATCACCAAGAGGTGACAGAAAAGTCCTCTGGGACCGAATCTTTTTGAAATGCCTTGGGAGGATCTCAGAAACTATTACTATAATTATAAAACTCGAGGTGTTTCCTCCTTATCAGTCATACTCAGTAAAATGTGATTGCTTCAAGTATTGTCTACTTTTGACTTGTTACAATATCATGACAGATCTCAGGTGCTTTCTACATGTTTTCTATCACTTGCTTCCTATCCTATACATTCATCAGATAATGAAGGATCATTAAAATACTGTGGAGAGCACTGCCTTTGGAGCAAGCTCCCGAGCTTCCACAATTCACAGAACACACCTGGGATGACAAGAGCCTGTGTCATTACCATGAGGGAGAAAAAGAGCAAGAGGAGGAGGCCTCAGGATTGGGGTGGGGAACCTACGTCTATGTCTATGTCAGCAAGGCCAGCCAGGACAAGTAGTGTCTCCCGAGGCTGCAGGGCAGGAACAGCCAAATCCTCCAGGGATGGTGCAGTGCTCCTGCAGCAACGGGGCTGTGAAAGCCCTGGGAAGGGACACAGCTCTGCACCCCCCACCCCCTCACCTCCATCTCCAGCCCAGCCCCCTCACCTCCATCTCACGCTGCTGGGCTGCACGAAGCAGTGGCAGGTTGTGGGGCCTACAGCACTGCTGGGCCTCCTTGTGCCGGTGGAACAGCTCCTGCTTCAGCCCTGCCATGGGCATGGGGGGCTCAGAAGGGCACACTGCTGCCAGGTGCCTCAAGTGCCATCAGTGCCCTCCCCCCAGTGGCCTCCCCACAACCTGCACTGTCATTCCCTATAGACCCCCACAACC